GACAAGTTAAAATTCCGCTGCAAGTGAAGCTCGGTCGATAAAGAAAGAATCTCGCCTAAGGTCCGACGAAGCCACAAAGGACGCGAAAAGTGGATTGGGGCTAGAGTTCCTCGTAAGGCTGGCCATGGTCGAGCGTAGATCATGGCGCCGCACGGTTGAAAAATATACGACCGTGACACCCAGCACGCTCCTCTCTCTTATGTCCGTTCGAGTAGTAGCTAGCGCCACCCAACACCCCTTCCCTCTTCCATTTGTCCGGGCAGTAGCTACCTCCGCCTAGTGTCATGGTCATGTTCGTTCAGGGCCCTGTTGCCTGTGCCCTACCCATAACAACCTCTTTCCACATATTTTTATGTCATGTATTTAGTTTTGTATATTATTTACTTTTCCTTGTACTTTGGTGGTGAGTGACTCCTCGCCACTTTGCACGTACATGCTTTTGCTGGATCAAATATGCCTTAGAATGTACTATATAGGATGTAAGGTACACCTAGTCATCCTCCCTACATTACGTTGTATTCTTGTCTTGTTGCTGATCTATTCTCTTACATTCAAGCATACAATAAACTTTCCAAAATGCTTTCAAACGTTTTCCAAAACCTTTTTCTCTAACCCCATTTTCCAAAACCGTTTTCTCGAGAACGGGGGTGGAGGTTGCGATATATAGCCTTTGTGTCATCGGCTATTTGATTTCTCATTGACTGACTTGCTAGAGGGCAGAAGCAAGTGCCGCACAATCACTTTTTGACTCCTGTTAAAGGGCGATTGTGACACCTAGCATCCCTTTCCTCTTCCATTGCCCAACTGCGACTACTCTTCCGTCCGACAACCATTATTTAAATGAAATCGTTCTTCCCACAAACAAGGATTTCCAACCTTATTTGTATGCTAATGGTGGACTGTTTGGAGGTTTATGTACAAACTGAGATTTTGTAACATCGATTTAAATAAGACTTTATTTATATATTTTTTTAATATTTCCTAATCCCTTTCCTTTTTTTTGGGATATTGTTAAGAATGTGTATTTATATTTTAGAGTGAAATGTCAATTTTTGTATTATTTAACCTTTATATAAAATATTTTCCAACTAGTGGGTATATTTACGTAAATCTATCTAGAATCGTTTTTTAAAGGTTAAACATAAAAGATTCATCCACGTTCAAAAGAAACATGCTTCATTACCTTAACTAGAAGATGAGGAAGAGGAAGGGATGCTCAGACCCTAAGAATAACTTATGTTTCTTCGAAATTGAATAAATTATAGAACTTGCACTACTATTTTGCTTACCTTGGATTTATGCATATTTACCTCTCCTTTTTTTATTTATGGAATTATTCTTATTTATAGATTACATTTCTCGATTTATGGATTGAGGAAGAAGCTTAAGTAAATAGTTGTTTAAACCATTCTCCATGGATTTACTTATGATTATTTGTTCTTAGTCTTTGGATTTGCTTGGTTTTATGCATATTTAGTTAGATACAACTATCATTGAGGCAATTTACCTCTCGTTTATAGATTTATGGAACTACTTCTATTTACTTATGCGTTGCTTGTAATTATGACATGATTTCTTACTTGTTTACTTCTATCGTGAATGCATATTTACCTCTCGTTTCTGGATTTATGGAATTTATCGTTTGTATATAGGCCTAGCTACCTCAATGATTTACCTCTTATTTTACTTGGATTTACTTTTGATCATCCACTCTCAACCTTTAATGCATATTATTGTTGGTTTTAGACATATTTACCTAAATGAGAATATCATCGAAATAGTTATGCATATATACACATTGGTGAAAATTTGTGCAAATAATCAACCGTAAACACACAAGAAACCAATGTATAAAACTAATTGGGAGTTTGGGCTGAATAAGCCTCTTAAGAGGGTAGCATTGTTTTTTAATCATCATTTTCAAAACCCATGTTTTCTAGTTATCGACTGACATCACCTAGACATCAAATGACCTTCATTACGTCTCCATTAATTTTTCAGATTTCTCCCTTATTTTAAAACATTGCATTTTCTCTCTCTTTTTTCTCTCTTCATCCTCTCTCTCTTATATTTTTCGTTGTCTTCCCCCCACCATCTTCGTTCTTCTTCTCTTTTAGTTATACAGTTTCTCTTCCAAATCTCGCTCAAATCTAACTCCAAATCTATCACTTTTTCGGGCTCTCTCTCTTCTATCACTCGCTCGGTCTCTCTCGCTCTCATTCGGTCTCACTCAATCAAATTAGGAATGGAATAGGGGAAAGTGAAATTGGGTTTAATTTATTCCTTACTAACTTACTAAACTTAAGATATTGAGGAGAGGTTGAGATTCCGTTTCTCTCCATTCTAATTTTCAAATTTTTAATTAAAAAAATATTTAATGATTATTTATTAATTATTTTGATTTGAATTTAACCAAATTGTTTCGAAATTTATTTAGATCCGATGGATTTAATCATGTTTATGATTTCATTTAAATTAACTAAATTTTATTATTATTTTATAGATAAACAAACATTTTATTTCAAAACATTTGAAATTATTCGCCTTATAAATTTTTTCTGAGGAACAAACTACCTCATCGGTTTTGATGCCTCCATTGCCGGTGATTGTTGAAGATCACGCGAATCATGGAAGCTATTGGTTAAAAAAAAAAGAGATTTAGGATTTTTTAGAGTAAATTGCTTTTTGTGATGGGTGAAGAAGAAAAAAACTCATGGTTGCTGAAGAGAGAAAGAGAGCGGAAGAGAGAAAGAGAGAAAAATGAAAAACGATAAGAAAACAATAAGAGTAAAATCTAAAATATTAGTAGAGGGGTAATAAGGGTCATTTGGTGCCTAGTTGATGTCAATCAATGAGAGTTTTGAGAGGGTAATTAAAAAACAATATTGTCCCAGGCCTATTCAACCCAAAATCCCAAACTAAATATAGATGAAAATCTAAGTGCAAATATTGAGGTACTTAATCATATTTAAATTGGTAAAAGAAAAAAAAAATTAAAATTGGGAATAAAATCGGTAAAAAAGAATCCAAATTTTTTTTAACACAATATTTGGTTTGAAAATTAATTTGAGAATAGAATGAGATAGTTTTGAAAAAGAATTCAAATTTAATTTATTCCTATTTTTAGAAAAATAATTTGATTTCAAATCAAGTTTATTTAGCGGTTAAATATGAGAATGAAACAAAAACATGGTCAAAAGATAAAATTGAAAAATCACCAAAATTTTTTAAATTCCTAAAATATGATTTAGTCGAAAATTGAGAGTTAATAACCATTTGAATTTTTAAGATGGGTGTCAAAATTCAATCACCCACCTAAATTATCCCCAAATTTTGATGTACTAAACAAAATTGATTTTTCAACCAGTCTTAAAATTTAAGTTATTTAGTTCTAATTTTAACTGTGTTAGTTTTGTAAATTAAAATCTAATTTTGAGAAAAATAATTTTTTATTTAAAATTTAAAAATTTTAAAGTTTAATTTTACCCTGTTAAATGTTATATCTAGATTTCAAAATAAAAAAACGTTGGTAAATTTTTTTTCCTAATATTTAATTAAAATTAGGTGAGGGTTTATATTTTATAAAGTAGAGGAAATAGGGGAAATAGGAAAAACAAATAAAAACCAAAATTTCTATTTCCTCTATCTCCCTCCCTCGCACGGCGGCGCATCCCCTGTCGACAATCTGAAGACCAGCGAACCTCCGGCGAGCCAGTCTCTACTACGGCGTTGCTTCAGGCGGACGATTTTAAGGTCTTAGGGTTCGATCTCAGAGATGTGCAGTTCGGGCATGCATTGATTTTGGTTCTGTTAATTGCTATATCTGCATTTCAGGATTTGGTACCCCATTTGTTTAGATTTTGTTTTCCTTTTAGTTATGAGTAAATTATGCCTCCTGGTTAATAGTTGAACATGAACTGAAGCTTCAGAAAAAACACTAATTAAGCACTTGTTGTGAACACTTTTTTACATTTAATCAAACACCAAGAAAGATTTGATTTGAAAAGTGCTTTTAATTAGCTGAAACAGAAACTTGCAATATCATGCTAAAGCTTCTTCATATATCTGATCCTTGACTTCTGTTAAAGCTGTGTTGTAATTTGATTCATATTCTACACATTAGGTAGAGTGCATTGAAGTTTCCCTTTTCCATGTCCATTTATTCTTGATTCAAATTTGAAGTGTTGTATGTTGATCCTCTTCGATGTTTTGCATTGGTTTCTTCAATCTGGAGCCTCAAAGAATATGTTTTGGTTGGAACCATTAGACTTCAAGAACATCCCTAATGTTCTACCTTAGCCGGATGGAACTCATATTACGTGTGCCTCCGCACTTCACCTACCTATCCTTGAGGCTTTTAAGCATATTCTAGCCATGTAAGTGTCTGAATAGGTTGTTATTCTAGCCCCAGAATGTCAAGTATTTTTCTTATGAGTTGAACAAATATCTGGTTCACATTTCTACCTTGGTTTATCCAGAAATTAGTTTCTCTCAAAATCTTACTTTTAAATTTTGTTTGGTTGTCGAAAAAACAAATTTCTAAGCAAGAAAGAAAGTCAAGGAAAGTTTCGACCTCCCCCTTCCCCAGCGGCGACCCTCGGGCTCAATTTGCTTTACCAATCACCAAAATTTTCCATGGAAGTCCTATAAATTGCTAAACCCTCTATTGATTGGGGGACATCCTCAGCCAAGGAAGAGTTTGATGCCCATTTGTCGTGCCAGAACCAGCCAAGTTGCCATTGCCAATTTTACAAAGGGCTCTATCTTTTATGTTGCTGATGAGTTTGGAAATTCCAGCCCAGGGGTCTTTATAAGTGCGAGAAGTTTGATTAGGCCAAGGCTCATCTAGTGATTTCCCATATTTAGCCCAGATCATTCTTTTCCAAAGGGTGGATTTTTCTGTTAAATACCTCCAGTACCATTTTGATAGCAATGCTTGATTCCATTTCAATATATTGCCTATGCCCAAGCCACCTTGGTCTAAAAGGAGTTGTACTTCCCCTCATTGACAAGGTGAAGATTGTCAGCTATTTTGGGCTGTCCCAAAGGAAATTTTTGAAGATTCTCTCAATAGGGTCTATCTTGTTGTCTGGGTTGTTTCATTGAAAAGGTATGTTTGTGTGTTGTGCAAGGGAGAGTGGGTCAGAGACCTTGAGAAGTAACTTAAGGGAAGTATGGTGAATATCAGGGCCTCTATACAAATGGGCAAGAGCTGATATGCCATCGTTTTAGTGCCGGGGTCTTGGGTACATATGGTTGAGGGTTGATATGTCAACATTGGAGAACTATCGGGGTCTTGGGTATAAATAGTTAAGGGTTGATGCAACAGTTCGAGGCCTTGAGTAATGGATACAAATGGTCAAGGGTTGAACATCAAATTATATAGATAAGTATTGAGGCTCTGGGTACAAATGGTTTAGGGTCGATACAACTGAGGGGTAAACTTTGAAGAGTTTGAAAAAGTTGGAAAGAGCTTGGAAGGGCTTGAAAGAGTTATATTTAAAGAGGAATAAGATTTATGTGAGTATTGTGTATGAAAGTGTTGTGCCATAGCTTAGAATTTATTTTGATATGAGCATGTGTATTGTGTATCCTGATTACGTTTAAATTATGTTGAACATTTATGCTGAATTCTGTTAAATTGGAATTCGTGTCTGTATTTCCTAGGTTTTGGTTATGTAATACGTAATTTTTCTGGAGATTCTATGGCTTCTTCTGAAGCTGAAAACTTCGAGGAGAAGTTGACATCCTTGCTTGGCCAGCTCCACTTAGAAAGTGGCATTCTACACAAAATGATTTATAAGAATAAGAACCAGCACCGCCGGGGTTCCTATTTTCGTTATCTTTTGCAGGTTTTCATTTTTCCCCCCTTCTAATGGAGCTTTCTATTATGGTTGATTGATTGGTTGCTGAGAAATACATGGGATTTTCTCTAAAAGAGGAGTCAAATCTTGCTTTACGTGTATATTTATATATATATTTTTTTGACGGATTATAAGTATGTATGTTATCCTGTGTAAATACATGTTCATATACACAATAAATGGAAAACACCTTAATATTAATTACACCAGTTGAAAGAAAAGTGGACATTAAGATTCAGAAACAAGATGTCATCTGTAATTTAGCTTGTGAGAATAGTTCGTTAATTGTTCCATGAAGAATTTGAGGCTTTTGCCATATAATTTTGTCTTGCTTCTATAATTTTTAGGTAGGGAGAGATTTGAGACTTCTACAGGCTACCAAGTTGGAGGATTTGGTAAGTTCCTGCTTTCAAGTTATTGGCGGAAAGAAACCTAAGCAAAAGATTCATCTTTTAGAAAGGTATTAGATTTTAAATCCCTTCTCCCTATGGTTTTTTTTTCCGATGAATATAAAAAGAGAATGTCTAGACTAAAGAGAATGTCTAGACTAAGTGAGATCTATTGTTCCTTTGATCTTCTATTTGGATTTTCTATTTTATTACAGTTTGAAACGGAGGAAATGTGAAGTTGGGAAGTATAATTTCATGGAACGGCTTCTGGGTGCTGCACGGTTACTGTCAGAGGTGATCCTTCCCTTGAGTTTTTCTTCTTTGTATGACTAGTTAGGGGCATTTATATAGAACTTCTACTCCCCTTCTATTCGTTTATGATTCAATTAAGAAAAACGGGTACAGAATCATTTAACTAAAACTATTTTATTTTACCAATGTAAAACGATCTATTTTCACTCTTAAAAACTGTTTTTTAAGTAGTTGGGCTTTTTTCTCTAAATAATGTCCATCAACTATCTTCATGAGAGGTCAATCAAGAGTTATTCTTGTTAATATGACCATAATGGAGCCTGATCCTGAAGTTACGGAAAAATTACTCCAAAGAGGACAAATCATGTTCACTCTATTTCATGGATTGCACCTTTTCCCAGTGTAGTGATTGGATGTTTTTCCAAATCTCTTGCAGATGGTAGAGCCAATTTTTAAGGCAGCTACGTATCCTTTTTTATCTATTGGTATCATGCTCTATGGCTATGTTGGTGTTGCTTGCTACTTTCTATTTGCTCAAATTCACTATAGTTTCTTTGTGAATCTTCAAAATGGTGTTCGATGGAGTTTTTCAATAGCTATTCAATTAGCAAGCCTGCATTACACGGTGTTATTTATAAAAGCTAGCTTATTTTACTTGCTTAAATTGTCCATCAAGCTCCTTGACAAGAAAATACAATATGTAACTTCATGTTTTCCTAACCACAAACGCCACCTTATCGGCCTCCACTCTCTGCCCTCGGATCTGGCAAGGGAGATGCCCTAGAAAAGTAAAATTTTTCTGTTTGGAGCTTAGTCATGGGGCGATCAACACCCAAGATAGGGTTCAGATAAAGCTTCCATTTTACACCCTTTCCCCAAGCTGCTGCCATTTTTGTTTGGATGCATCAGAGACACAGGGCCATCTATTCATTCATTGCATATATGCAAATCGCTTTTGGAATCATTTCCTTTCTACATTCAGATGGAAGGCAGTACTACACAACAAACCAACAACCTTCCTTGATCAACTTTTGGTGGGTCACCCATTCAAGAAAGGAAAAAAGATCCTATGGACCCAGTTTGTGCGGGCCTTCCTTTGGAGTCTTTGGTTGGAAAGAAACAATATGGTCTTCAACAATAAAGCGCTCCCTTTTGATATCTTTTTTGATAGGGTTACTACTCTAGTCTCTAGCTATTGGTTGGTGTAAATGTTTCTACCCTTTTCAATAGCTACTCTCTAAATGAACTTATCACAAGCTGGAAGGCTTTCTTGTAATTGCCCATGTGGCCTTTTGTATATTTCATACCATCAGTGAAATATTTGTTTCATACCAAAAAAAAACTGAATGTTTTCCTTGATAGAAAATGTGAAGCTGTAAACTTTTCTTTCTGCAGCAAACCATCTCAGCATCTTTCAATTTTTATAGACATTTGTGTGTGAAAAGGTTTTTGATGATACTGATATATTTCATTGTTTTGGATTCTTGCACCAGTCTACTTTTTCTTTTTACATCTTGGTTGAGTTTTGCACGTTCTTGAGATTCATTGCCCTCATTCTTTCAGTTTTAAGTAAATTTGCTAGTTAACATAACTTCTCATGTGTGAAAAGTTCAATAGTGAGACTTTGAATCCCCATTAGATGGTGGTTATGTGAAATTAATGCTTTTTTTCAATCTCCCCCTCTCAAATATTTCCATCATTACTTTCAATTTGGTGCATCAAAAATCTTCTGCCTGATGCACCTATAGATGGTTGTATGTAACACCAACGTTTTGTTTTATGCACAATTGTTTAGTACTTCTCTGCGTTTGTGATAATTATCTTGACATAATTTCTTCTTAGCTAGAGCTATTATTGGTTGGATCATGGAAACTAACTTGGAGAAATTCATTATGCAAAATGTCACCCTTGACTATTTAACAGCGAGATATCTACATTGCTTGCTCGAAGATTTTTCACAGGGTTTTGTTTTATGATTTTGGCATTACTAGCGCGGATTCGTGTGTTAGTTCAACAAGTAAGTTCCAACTTTATTATTTACTATTTAAGAGAAGCAGAAAGAATTTTACATTAGAATATACCGGTTGAACTGATCACACATTGTGATTAAGTGATGGCTGAATCTCATACGGCCTATTTGGATTTGTTTCTTGGAGGCTGTTGGGGCTTTTTTGGCTATTAATAGGGAGTGTAGGGCGATGATGGACATGGAAGACGTGTTTCAGGCTTCTTGTTTTTTTGGCAATTTTGTGGGGGGGCTTTTGGCTTGAGATGAATGGCAAAATTTGTAGGAGGGTAAAAGAAAGGCTTTGGGAGGAAGTTTGGGAAATTATTAGATTTAATTCCTCCGTATGACAACCTTACTTGAACAAGATTTGTTCTATAGGCTGTAATTCTGTATCCTGAGTTCTAAGATTTAATTCCTCCGTATAGGTGTTGGTTTTGAAGGATTTTTGTAATTATCAATTAATTTTTATTCTTTTGGATTTGGGCCCTTCTTATAGGCTGGTCGTCTCCTTTTGTTGGGTTCATTTTTTTTTTTTTTTGTATGTTCTTTGTATATTCTTTCATTTTGTCTCTATGGAAGCTCGGTATCTTATAAAAAACAAAAATTACTCTAGTCAGACTTTGGGTTACTCTATGCTTATGAGAATGAGCTTTGTATTTCCATTGAGCATTTGTTTTTCCTTTCTTTTGTTGTATAGATATTAATCGATGTCGTTTCCGTATTCAACATGGTTTCGTCTATCTCCCAAAAGAAGCATACGGTTACAATAAACCAGGAAGGTATTCAGGTATACCTGCTCCACTCTTCCTCTCCTTTCTAATTGTCTCTTCAAAAAGGAGTTCTTAAATTCTTTTCCAATCTACTAACAGGTCTTTAGAGAATTTTACCCAACGAATGAAGAATTTGTCTTCTTACAATGTGTTTGGAAAGAAGACAAATTTGTGCTGCAAGAGACGAAACAAAACTTTGAGTCTAGGAATTGGCAAGAAAATCTTGGACCAAGTGTTTCTTTGTCCACCTCAGCTATTCAATATACGAGCATCGAATCTTTTCTTGAAGGTAAGATTTAAATTCCTACTAGTTTCATCTTGTCTCGAAAAGAAAATAAATATAGTTTCCTTCCTTCCTGTATTACTTCATTTTTGGCGTAGATGATGAATCTGCCATCAAGCAGGCAGAGGTAAATCAAAGCATTGAAGGTCTTGACCTTATGAAAATGAGTAAGAAGAATGACTTGCTAGCAAGCCTCTCAAAGAAAGATAATACCGCAACAAAAGACGGTTCGGTCTGTCCCACAGAGACCTCAAGCAAGACACTGTTGCCACAAGAAGGTAGTTTGCTTGTGAACTCAAGCCCCACCTCGGTTGGTGCAGAAAAATCGGACACGAAGAGACCAGCATTTGTTTCAGTGAAAAATCCGAACCCAATTTCGTGTAGTGCAGTTGGGATTCAATTCAATGAAACCAAAGTTGATAGTGAGGAAAAAGAGGATCCATTTTTCACTTTGCTCACTGATGGGGAAGCCAAAAGCAGTCTGTTCTAGCAGCTGGGAGTATTTTAGCAAGCAGTTAAAATTCTTTGGAAATGCATATATTTTATGTTTAATGTCAAATTACCCAAATAATATTTATTGACTAATTTTAACAAGCTGTGCAGTAAAATCTTGTATGGTTATAGAGGTAAAACACAAGTTGGAACCATTGAGTGCAATACAATTTTGTATAACAATGATTTAGATTTAGAACCTACTTGATAACGTTCTCATTTTTGTTGAATTTATATTGTTTGTTCCTTATTCTTCAATTTTTAGACGTCTATTATACGATTACTTTATCTCGCTCGTAAACTACCTAGCAAATTTAAAGTAGAAAACATGTAAATTTAAAGTAGAAAACATGTAATAGAAACGTTAGCAAACGAGACTTTAAATTTAATAGTGATCTAATGGATCAAAAGAGGTGTGTCATTTAAATACAATATGATTAACATGAGAAGGTAGTGAAATACAAATCTTAAATTTCTTTTTAAACCTATCAAAATATTGCCACTCCCAAAAAAAGAAAAAGAAAAAAAAAAGGCAAATTGCAAAGTCACCCCTGAAGTAGGGTTGTTGTTACAATTACACCATTAAATTTTCAATTATAAAAATTAAACCTTTGAACTTTCATAAATGAAAAAATTAAACCTTTAAACTTTTAATAGTAAAAATTAAACCCTTAAACTTTCACATGTGATAAAATTGTATCCTCTAATTCAAAAATGGTAAAATCTAAACCCTAAAATTTCGAACAATTGTATCTATTTGACAATTTTAAAATTAAAAGTTTTTTTTTCTGTTCGTGGATATTCGATTTTGCAGACAAGCAGCAGTAGTTCATAAATGTGAATCTGCTCCATCATTCATTAACTTGTGAGGGAATTAATAGAACAGTGGACATTATTTTCCACTTCAATTTTCAAGTTTAGATCTCGAAAAGTATCAGATTTATTACCTATGCGTACAAATCTATGCCCCAGAACTTGGTAGGGTGTTCGGTATTTCCTGTCAATTATGCCGATGGAATTCATGTCTTCTTTTGTAAGCTTAAACTTAAAAACTTGGAACAATCTCTCGGATTTCGACGTCCCTAGCAATTTGAGCAACACACTCTTCCCATATTTCTTGGCATGTCCCGAGGAAAAAGGTTTTATAAAAATTGTCTACAAAATCGAATATTGAAGATCAGAAAAATCTTCATTGAATTTAAAGTCAATGAAGATGAAGAATATTTTCGGTACATAATATGGATGGAATTGTAAAAAGTACCATTTTAAAAAAAGTTAGGGTTTAATTTTAATTTGGAGGGTGCAATTTTATCACATGTGAAAGTTTAGGGGTTTAATTTTTACTATTGAAAGTTCAAAGATTTAATTTTTTCATTTATAAAAGTTTAAGGATTTAATTTTTGTCCTTGAAAGTTTAAGAGTGTAATTGTAATAACAACCATACTTCAGAAGTGGTTTGCAATTTGAAAAAAAAAAAAGACCAAATTATGCCTTTTTTAACAGCAAAATTAAGAATAAAATCAGAATTAGCTCCAGCTCTCAATAGTTCTTTCAAGTTTTGGTTTGTCAGAAAACTGTACACTGGGTGAATGTCTTGGCTCAAAAGAGCCTCCATTTCTTCATATGTCCCTTCCACAGCTAGCATTCCCATGTAGTTAAAAATACTGCACAACCAAAATGTTCACTTGTTAATCCTCTCCTTTTTTTTCTTCTAGAAAAACCATAATTTCATTTAAGGATTATGTCGAGATCATGACTCAAAGTCACGGTATCGACTATTGGTTCCGAGAGTATTTAGACACATACAGTAGTTTGACTCAAATTAGATCTATAGCAGACATTCAAAGAATTTCGAAAAGTAATCACAATTTTTATAAGGACATGTAGATTAATCAAAAGTTGTGACTTAACACCATGCAAACTATAATAGCATACGTTTAGACACGTCCTATTCAATAAGTATCACAAAGGGCATTCTAATTTTAGCCCACGTTTATTGATCCAAAATTTTATCTAAATCCAATATAACACCTATTACGTAAGAAATGTATTGAATCGATTCTTTTTAATGAATAAATCCGACGCAACTTTGAATATGGAAATTTAAAAGAATCAAATAGAAATGATACTCTGAATCATAGAACTATAATGAAATATACGATCTACCAACATTTATCAAACTTGAGAAGGGATATTTTGGTTTCTCGTATGGAGAGATCTCTAAATCACATAGACATTCTGATATCGCTCCAAATGCCTTTAGCTGGTTTTACTAAGGAATCATTAACATGAGTTATACCACAGTGGAGTTTTCTTGTCAAATCCAATCCCTCCAAGGGCAATAATATTCAAACTACAACAACATTCTGTGAACAGAAACTAAACAAGAATGAGATACTTTGAGAGAGAATGGATCACACAAAATATGATGTGTTATTCTTGTAAGGGTATTTATATTAGTGTACTTTCTAACATTAAAATAATTTGTATTAGTTTGTTCTTTATCATCCTTTTAAAGTCTTAGGTCATATAGTCCTTTATCATCTTTTTATTGAACAGTATATATAAACAAATATACAATGTTGACCTACGACTTGTAAAAGAACGATAAAAGACAAATTGATACAAATTATTATAATATTAGAAAGTAAACTAATATAAATACTTTAACACTCTCCTCAAGTTGGAGCATATATGTTAATCCTGTGCAACTTGTTAGAGAGAGAATCTATTTGTGCTTCATTCAATGGGTTAGTGCTCCATTCTAACTGCTCTCCAATCTTCACATATCCTGTAGCCACCAATTCTTCTTGTATTTTCTCACGTACATAATAACAATAAACTTGAATTAGTTTGTTCATAAAATAATACTGGATTAGATGCAATATAGAGATGACACGACCCGTCCCAAACACCTACTAGTCCTAGAACGAGTCGCGCCGACCACAGACCCTAACTAACTACAAAGTCAATGGTCAACTTCTTCTTATCTTTGACCTGAAGCTTAACTAATAAACTCTGAATGGATGCATAATAAAATAATAATCTTTACAGAACAATCATTCTTACATCTATTCTATACATTCTTTTCTATCAAAGAGTGCAGATAAAAACTTTTTACAAACAAACCACATGCATTCAGAATGTCATGCAACTCTTGAACTGTCCTGAGTGGCAGAATTTGAACTACTATCTCATTGAAACTCAGAAAGTCAGATACTCAGATACAACCTGGGGGGAAAAACAAAACATAAACAGTGAATTGGGAAGCTTAGTGAGTGGTAGGTTAATAAGAAAATATTCTCGTAAAACTTCTTTCATAAATAATTGAAAATTCAGCTCTTAAAACAAACTTCATAAAACTTAAGTAACAAACATTCTCATTTAAATCTCATAAAACTTGAGCAACTAAAAACTCAGTAAACTTTCTCATAATAAGTTGTAACAATAATTTCTTTCTAGGCAAATCGAAAAGACAACGCTCCCAAATTTAGGATTCAAACCAGGATTTGGAATCCGAATTTGGCCCTATTCATCCCGACATTCCCTTGCATCTTCTACGACCTAGTTACGCCAACTTCTCAACCTGCTCTAAAACACTTTCTAAAACACATAAGACATTCTTCTTTCAAACATAAAACAGATAGATAAAATTGAACATCACACACGTATCCATATTCTAGATAACTAATTGATCAAAGCCAACTCTCAATCTCAGCCATACACAGAGCGAATTTTTAGTTCTTGAAAACTCAGAAAAGAACTCACCACAACAACACAGTTCTTACTTGAAAAACCCACAAAATTTCATCATAAAATGCTTCCATATTTTCATGGATTTCCTTCTTTAATCTCTAGAAAACTTACCAAAGTTTCAATCTTGCTCTGCTCCATCTGTTTCGAAAACACACAACCTATAGGCAACATACCTTTCCATTCTCCCTCTGCACAACAAAACCCGGTGACTACTCCATATACACTTCTTCTTGAAGATCACCATGGAGGAATGCATTTTTAATATCAAGCTGATGTAAGGGCCAACAATAGATGGATGTCAACGAAATAAATAACCTGACAGAAGCCAATTTAGCAACGGGAGAAAAAGTATCAGAATAATCACTTCGGTAAGTTTGTGCATAGCCTTTAGCAACAAGACGAGCTTTCAATCGGGCAATTGATCCATCAGGATGTACTTTGATAGCAAATACCAATTTACAACCGATAGGTTTCTTTCCTACAGAAAGATACACTAAATCTCAAGTACCATTGTCATCTAAGGCAGTCACTTCCTCCAACGTAGTAGCCTGCCGACCAGGATAAGACAAAGCTTCACTAACAGTTTTAGGAACATATAGAGATTCAACGGATGCAATAAACGAACAAGTAGGTGAGGCAAGGCTGGCTTAGGCTATAGGCGAGTAAGACGATCGCCTAAGGCCCTCAATTTTAGTAGGGCTTCATATTTTTTCATATAATATAATATATATGCCTTACCTATGTATTTTAGTTTTTTCTTATAATATTGAAAATACAAACTAATAATATATATAATTCTCTTGAAAATAAAAAAAATTCATAATCAATAAGCTGATAAATTTCTCTCAATTTTAATTGGCTACCATTTTAAATTTGTTAATTTTTTCTTCACAGCTTGTTTAAATTTCCTTAAAAAAATCTCAACCTCCTCCCAAGTTTAGGTGGGGAGACATTCTAGATTCCTTATCTTTTTATTTATTTATTTTTTTCACAACTAAAAGCTTTAAACTTTTCTTAAAAAACTTTTCTCAAAGATCATCAAATAAAGACTTAATCCAAACTAAATCAGCAAACACATGAGCAAGATTTCTGTACTAGATCAAGAGGTGATGGATTGCTTACTAGAAGACCAAGAGATAAGATTTCTATCGAAATAGATACAAGTACCAGAAGTAGACTTGTGATCGTCAGGGTCAAAAGCCCAAGCCCTGTAATGTAAGATCTCGAGGCTTCTGAAACATTAGACCATGATCAAGTGTACTCTTCAGATATCTTAAAATACACTTGACTGCTTGCCAATGAAAATTTTTGGAAGCATACATAAATAGGCAAACTTTATTAACACCATAAGCAATCTCTAGTTTAGTGTGAGTAGCATATTGGAATGCACCAACAATGCTTATATATAAATAAACATCAGAAAAATCATCTCCTTTAAAAGCCTAGATAACAGAACCACTAAGCATTAGTGTAG